ATCACAACTCAGACATCAGCTATGTGGATTGGCCTCATTTCGGGCTGCTGGAAAAGGACAGCCTCAGAACGAAGTAGCCTCGAAGATTGTAAGTCAACTATCTGGGAAATTTTAGCTAGACAAAAATAGAGTTTAATCTTTTCGCACCACATTTCGGCGAAGCATTTTGTCAACCTTATTATCTTCTCTCAGTAATTACTTTAGTTCAATCAAATTATAACGATCATGTAGTGCAAATAAGCGACACTAATAAGGGAATAACATGACTTTTTGAGGGAACATTGTTTATTTGCGCCCGCGTGGTAAATGACACTACAAGGGTGCAAAAAAACAATATTCCCGAAAAAAGTCATGTCATTATCATTATTATCAATAAACAAGGCCAAATGATATCAAGAATGCGAGTTTTAATAATACAAGCTAGGTGAATGACGAATTCAAAGTCACTTCAAATCATCATGTAAGTGTTGATTGAACAAGCTCTTTTGTATACAGCTTGCACCTGGCTTCAAACATTTTGTTCGCTGAAAGAAATTCGCTGTCTTGCATAATATTCATACTCCTGCTTATCGGAGCTGAAGTCAATTGTCGGTGGATCGCAGCTCGAATACCAGTTAGAGTACTTGGTGTTAGCGGTTGGCCTTTTTCCGATTTAACTTCAGCGTAGAATTTCCGCAGTAATTCATTTAGCTCAACCGGTGTTACACAATTGAAGTCAACTTTCAGCTTTCGTTTGTCGCACCATTTCTCGAATTTTTTGATGCCCCACAAAGTGGCTCTCTTTGTAGTTTCCGCCTGACCTTTTGCTTCTAATTTGTCCAAATCTTCTAGCCCCAAATCTGAGTTTTGACTGCTTATTTCTTCCATTACTTCAGTTTTCGCTCGAAGACGATTCGACGACTGAAAAAACTGCAGTTCAAAACCGGAGTTTCGCAAATGAATGGTTTTCCCGCGTCAACACTAGGCTTACTCTAATTGGTTAAAATCCATCGGATGATGAAGCAAGAACCAATCAGCTGTAGGGCTGATAATGCCTTAGCAGCCCGCTGTCAGTCTTTTGCGGCCCGCTGAGCGTGTGTTTTGAAGAGGCCGATTTTCTATTTGGCCGCGTATATTGATAATAATTACAATTTTTATCTTTGCTTATCACACTTTGTGGTTCTCACTTTGGGAAAAGATGATATAAAATCAACTCTTGAGCTATAGTGTGTAGACCAGAAACATATTTCTCATGTAGCACCGAACAGTTATAAGAAATTCTAAAGGCGTCTGATGTCCAGAGAAGCTAAGTTAACTTTATTTAGTAAAATAGTTTACGAATAGATGCAACGCTGTAGAAAAAGCAAAACTTGGGAAGGAGATGGTTAAAAAAAAAAAAAAAAAAAAAAAAAAAAAAAGATTCACTTGTAATTGTAAATATTCTAGAGGTTGCGGCTTACTCAAATCGTCAACAAGCACAGGTATGGTGCGGTACGAGGTGACAATACTTCACTTGGTAGATTTAAACTGATTTAGTGACAGATCAAAGTTCAAAGCTTTAGATCACTCGGTAGCGTTTGACATGAAGGGTTACTAAGACAGCGAAGATCGAGGATCGTTAATTCTCGTATCATATAAATTCTTATCAAACGAAGGTACAAATAACAGTATAGCACTAAACAAAAAAAGTAACTGAATGGGCATAAAAGGATAAAAATTTGAAAAGAAACAAGGACAATTTGTAAATCAGATGGTTTCGCTATAATACTGTAACAATAACACTTAGTTGATTAATAAGAAGAAGAAGGGAAAAAGGTGAGAGCAAAAATAACAGTGCTATGTAATTGTAAAAGGAGGCATCAACTCTGCAGTGTGCGGCACTTATTAAAGTTACAAGAAGTGAGATTTTTTTTCTTTTTCAGTTTATTGTTTCTGTCATAAACATTCTTTGCATCGTTTCGCATTAATTTTGACCACAATTCCCTCGCGTCAAAGCCAAAGCGGATGATCCTCGTAAAAGTTTGAAAGGATCTACCTTAATCAAACAATTGTTACATCAACATTATTCAAGCATATTTTTCTGAACTTGAAAACTGGCGAAGCCAAAGAGGTTATCAATAGAAAAACAAACTAAGAACAGAAAGTTTACAAAACTCGATTGTCGAATACATAACTCGGTTTCCTCACTAGAGGTGCTGCGTCGGTGGGAAAGTATAATAGGGTAATTAAATGTTATCAACTGAGTCCAAAACGATTAACGATTGATCGCTCTGACGAAAGACTAACGCTCAAAACGTCAGCTTTTAAACTCTTTACGGTGGCCAATTCACGTTATCAACTCAGTTGATAATACTAAATTACCTAGGTATCTATTAGCTCTTTTTGATTAACAGACGGGTACTAAAGTGCAAAACATGAACCACCCATAGGAGCAAGCAAGTGTCTGTTGATACCGATATGCGCATATTTTAGTCAATACAAAACGAAACCCGAACTGCAGATTCAGACTGCAGATAGAAGTTCTGCTGGACAATCTACAACTTCAATCGCATATACCACCTTCCACCTTATTTGACGCGGGTCTGTTCCGCCCATTATCGCTTCCCTCGCAATTTTCAAGTTAATTGCACGTGGACTAAAAACGACATAAATGCACTTTCATCAAGTTAATAAAGGTCCAGTTATGTATTTGGAAAGCACACAAAGCTCCGCGCCAATGATTCTTTTTATTTATTTATTTATTTTTTTTTTTTCATCCTAATACAAAGCCATTTAAAACAATGCCTCGGCGCAGAAAGTGAGAAATCTCTCTAGGAAGCTTTCTCAGTAACCACACCCTTTTGTAACATATATGTCACTCTCCTTTTCTGGTGGAGGTGTCAAAATCTACTGTGGCACTGACCAGCATATCGTTTATCCATATCTTCAATCTTACGAGAGCAGTCACTGGAGTATAAATATGGCGAGTGGTAATGCCAGGCGTGCGCGAACTATGAAACGCACTTTCATCTTGCTACGCTGGGCCGATCGGTTGCGCGTTCCGCGAGCGGCCGACTTTGCATCACTAGAGTCGGGTGGCCGTGTGAAAGAGATAACGTTCAGTAACAATTCGACCATCGCGCATATTGCTGATATGCTCAAACATAATTTCCATCAGCTAAACACGGATGAAGAGATTTCAAGGTAAGACGATTATACTAATTCTATGACAACCGTCATTTATCGTTACTTTTAGTGAGTGCCAGCTATTTTTTTTCAGATTGCAGTTTTACAAATATTCTAACACGGGTTGGCACGGCGAATTGCGGTGATTTCGCCAACGAGTGATTTCGCCAACGTCACGTTCGCCAACGTCTTTGGTCACTTCGCCAACGCGATGAGTCGCTTGGCCAACGTCCTACTGGTCACTATTTGGCCAACGCCAAATATCTAGAGGAAATCAAGTCAGCTCAGTCAAGTAAACAACACACAGAAGCAAGAAGAAGTAAAGGCAAATTTTTATTTAGAGTAAACTAATAAATTGGCGAAGTGACCAGTAGGACGTTGGCCAAGCGACTCATCGCGTTGGCCAAGCGACCAAAGACGTTGGCGAACGTGACGTTGGCGAAATCACTCGTTGGCGGAATCACCAGATACCGGCACGGCGCCTGATATTTGTGGTGACACGTTTAAAAACGTCTACCGAAATAGAAGTAGGGTATTTATGCGGCCATCAATGGGTAGGAATTAAAGCAGTTCCGTTTCATTTAGTGGTGTTCTTTTTCCTTTTCATGACCGTGGTATGTATATGCCTAAACGATATCGCAGCCTGCAATTATGACTAAATATCCAGAACTCTCTGAGAAAAGAACCAGCCAGTCGCCTAATTCCAACGCAAGTGCATGCTTATAGCCCTGATCAAGAAAATATCATTGCTCTTACTTCCATAGACAATGCTCTCAATTAAACATTAGTCGACTCAAAACGCCAAAAAAGAGAACTCTCAGAGATGCCTTTGTATTCAGGACAATGTTTGATTGTTTTTCATGGGATTTCCTTGTTTGAATCGGCAAGACCAACCCGTACAAGCAGGCACGAATTCTACAAACGGAGCTGAAGACGACGGAGTAGCCGACCAGGCTGGTGAGCAAGGTAAATTCCAAACTAAAATGAATGAAATAGTTGCATTTGCAGAATAATTAGACAAGATGTAAAAGATCTATAGATGATTCACTTGATTTTAAAGTAAGATGTAGAGATACGCGCAGTGGCATTCTGATATTCCTGGGCGAATGGAATTATCTTCCAAATTGCTCGGTGAGGTATAGCAATGAAAAACTGCAAAAATAGCAGAGAAGAATAGATGCATGATTGAAATTTTTTATAACGAGTAAATCTGTGACAGGTTCAATTTTGATTTCCTTGTATAGATCGACAAGACCAAGTTAATCAAAATTCAGCAGACGCAAGGCATGACGACAGAACAGATGACCAGGCTGAAGAGCAAGGTAATTACGTATTCTAGACTAAAATGTGTGAAAGAGTGGGACTCCTACGGTGTTTCGATATGATATTTCAATACCAAAAGGTCAAAAACTTGTTTGCTTTAGAATTTAGAGAAGCCCGATGTGGCCATATTAGAATCATAGACACTCCTGTGAGGTATGGCAATGAAGAGCTGAACAAACACGCCACGAAGATAATGTGCTTTAGTAAGAGTTTTAAAACGAAAAGACTCTCTTTTTCTGTATCATTGAGACATATAATTCTTGATGACAATTTGAAACGGTGTATGTCATAACCTGATTCCTTTATCTAGTTGAAAAGAAGTTAATATACCAGGTAGGCTTTTTGGAATAGCCGAGTCGACTGTTACATGTCGAGAATGGATATTTTAAAGTGAAAAAGACTGGTGACGAACTCGTACGTTAGTTTTCAAGCCGCCGGGGGCACAATCATGGCTTGCGTCTCTCGACTTGTGCTTCATATGTATTTGATGTGACATTGGCCTATCCACATTTCCTGTGGAGTTGTCTTGACTTTTCCAACCCGGGAATGGTGTTCTTTTTGCTCATTCTACATTACTTCAAAGATGATAACAAATTACTTCGCCTTTTGTAATATCTTTACAGCTATAGATCCAATCGATACATTTAAGTAGTAGCTTTAATTTTGTTTACATTCAAAACAGATCCAGCGAATGAAGTTGAAGGAGAGATGATAGTTGAAGAGGAATTCGAAGACACGATCTCCCAACTTGGTACGCTTTTACTAATTACGACTCTGCTCAACTAGGTAGCGTCGGGGTGAGATTTAAGACCAAGGAAGACAGACTCTTTTAAGAATAGTCAGCGCAATGATTATCAAATCTAAGATGGACTTCATAAGTGAAATTCTCTCGGTTACTCTGAGTATCTCGTAGAATTACATGCTGATGTTCTCTTGGTGACAAATTAAATTCATGCATGAATTGAATTTCGCTACAAAGAATATCTGAAAACTTGCACGGATCTATTGTAAATATGACGTATCCTTTGCTAAATCCCATGTTGTAAACCACTAAAATTGTGTGTATAGTAAGGATTTAGCTTTTTCATTCCAAACTTGTTGATGGGTATGATGAAAGCCTAGTTATATGCCTTATTTCCAAAGCGTGTGGATACTCTTTACCACAAATTGAAAAACTCATTTGATTTTGTTATTTTCTCACAGACACTCCCAATCGAACGCCACCTCCTCAGCGTGTAAACAACGATGGTCCAGGTAATGAGAACATTCCATCACATGTTAAGGGTGTTTTTTTCAGGCAAATTAAGTGTGGGATTTGCATAATTATCTGACATTAAAATAATTTTTGTAGAAAATTTGGTTTAAGTTATGGGTAAGGCTTCATGAGAGACAGGAAAAAATTAGTTGAAAACATATTTTCTCATCTTTGAGCATTTCCAAATAGCAGAAGTAGAACATGAACTCAGACACAAGTAAACCATGAAATTATGTCAAAGGGAGCATTTTTTGCACTAATGAACAGGGGGCTGAATTAGTAAGGGGGGAATTGAGGACACTTTTTTCCTTACTTCATTTTTCATTGTGGCTGGGAAGTAAAGGAGAAATACATGCATGTGAAAAATATGTGAAACTTATTGTTAATTCTCGGGTGAGTCCAGTTCTTTGGAACCCTATATACAGCTTCTAATAAGCCCCTCAATCTGAACAATCTGAACAATCTGAATGGTAAGGACTGTGAATTTGTATGGGGCAGTAAGATTTCATCAATGTTGGTCTTATTTGAATAATAACTGCTTGCTTATTGATCTGCCTTTTCTTTTAGAACTTATTCACTTTCTTAATTTTGATTTCCTAGTGTATCTTAGCAGTGATGATGAAATGATGGAACCTCAATCCTCATCAACACCTAGAAATGCCATATCCACTGGTATGAATTGCAATGAATGTAACTCATTATCAGAAAGTTTTCAAGTGTTGAAATGGCTCCATAACATCTTTTCTTTATCATTATAGATCCTCACAATACTTTGGAACATTTTACAAGACAATTTTATGGCAAGTAGTGAATGGCATACACATTACTGTGTTGTTTTGAAAAACTAGACAAAACACGAGACCTGATAATGAAAGCAATTATATTCCAGTCTTTTGTTTTGTACACAAAGATCCTCTTCTTAGCAAAAAAATTGTCTCTAAAAGTTTAACACAAAGAACCAGTGGGAGTTTGTGCTTGATAGTCCTGCGTTGGAACATTAAAAAGTGGAAGAAAATGACTTTTATTATTTTCTTTGGAAGGTCTAGATTTTGTACATGATGAAAATTTAATCTCATCATTAATCTAATGAAAAACATTCTGTTTCTTATAAAAAATGCATACTTTAATTTTTTTTCAGATAAAGTGGAGAAGGTTTCAATGGGTGTGGTAGAATGTGTACATTTTGGAGGGCCATCTACTGCTCATGTATTAGAAGGTGAGCCATTCATAATTAATAATATCCTGAGATGAGTAAGTTAAATGGGAAGTTGCATGTTATTTTTAGTATTAATTGGCATTTTTTTTTTTTACTGCAAATGTGGGTGGGATTTCAGATTTCACCTTTTAAATAGAATCTGAGTTAGTAAGCTTTCAGGAACCTTTTTTTCATTTGGTTCTACACTAAAAAGTCACAAGAAAAAAAATTGGAAAGAACAAACTGATGGCATTTAGCATAAGCTCATGAAATGGATTTAAATCTCCAATTAGCAAATGTTCTTTAAAAGCCATGTATATGTATGTTGTGTCATGTACACAAGCCTGGGTGGGTTATGTCCTCACCCTTGAACTGCATCAGCTCATTAATCAGGTTTTGCATCTTTTTACATTTGAATACTGTAATCCCAACTTTTGTTTTGTTTGTGAAGCTGGTGAAGTAGAAGAGATGGAGGACACCACAGTACTAGCAGAACTTGGTTAGTACATAAGTTCTTTAGAGAGACCAAATGTTTATTATGAATAATAATGTATGTAGACTGTACCATGTATTTTCCATGTGTGTTGCTGATGTTTTATTATGCTATTGTCGATTAAAAATATACATATCCTGCTAGTGGACCAGCCTATGATGTCGCACTTTTCTGCAAGTTTTTGAAGGCACATAAAATCCCTCCAAGACTTCCCATCATCTGCTTGTCTGCTTTGCAGGTATACTGTGTTCAGTGAAGTCCACATTTAAGGGGTTTCACCATTAATGCTCAGCAAACTGGGCTTGAATAACTGATTTCAAGTTTGAGCCATTCTGACATAATATATTTGCATATCTTAAAATAAATTTGTATACATCTCCTCACATTTACTTTAGTTTGACTTAAAATTTACTTCAAGGGAATAAGCTTACTAAAGGTGAACTCTGTAGTGCTGCAGCATGAATGACTGTCAAAACTATGCTCAGTAGTTCCAAGGCAAGGGGAATAAGTCCATCACTCATTACTTCAATCAAAGAAAGTAATAATCATTAAATATAAACTTTTTCCTCATTATACACCACTTTTGATTGGAAACAAGGCTTTACAAAAAGCTAGCAGATCATCGCTTTCTACCAACAAACCTTCTATCAACATGTTAGATCACATTTTTGAGATTGCACTCTTATTTTTCTGTTTTAATCCTATATTGTTAAGTTCCAATTCTCATCAGTTCAACTTCTTGATGATAACCCAATTCAGTAATATTGACTTGATTCTAAATGTTTTGCACACAGATGCAGCTGCAGGCTCATTTTGATGGGAAGCTGGTGTGCCTGATACGTTTTAAACTAACAGATAAGGCGGCAGGTATGCTTAGGTGAGTATGTTCCTGACCATACTTTGGGTCATGTAGAAGGAAGAAGGGAGGAAAAAAACATTGATTGATTTCATAACTTGATTTAAATTAACACATAGAACATGGCCTAACATACAGAATACAGTTATACAATTATTAATCTAAATACATGTACATTATTTTTCTATTTGTTATAAGGACTAATAAGTTTAAATCTTCTTGTAGGCAACTCATGGATAGTACTGAGACCATCAAAAAGTGTTATGTCCTGGCCTCCTATGTAGGATCTCAGTTTGATGTGGAAGGTAGCTAATTTTAAACTTTTTCTTCTAGGCTATATTTGTCGAGCTAAAGTGAAAGTACCAGTCAGTGGGTAGATTTTGGGAGGCAAATTAAGAGGCTTAATTTTTAATTGAATATGATTTTCTTTCTTGTGGATACAAGAGGCTGAAATTGATTGCATGGATAATGAAGATGCATTGAGTAACAGAATAATTATTAGCCTTTGGTGAGAACTATCAGTCTAATGGCAAGTGGCATTACTTCTTGCTAATGAAGCCGTATTGGTTGAGGCCATTTCTATGCAGAAATCTCTTAGTGTTTTCTTTTTCTATTCTAATGTTACTCTAGTTTGTGGGAGGTCTGATCACACGAAAGATATGGAGTTGGAGTGTCGCATTTTTCAGCCCAGGATGTCCCCTGTGAGACTAATTATAGGAAACATCATTACCGGCAAGTGAATTAGTTACCTTGTAGAAAAGAAATGTTATGGCCTGCCAAATTAAATTGCTATTCCCCTTTTGATGGATAGGTAATATCAGTAATGTTCATTAGTATGTTTGAAGCATGGAATTATTGGCAAGCAACTGAGAAAGGTACTGATCAGGGATACATTTTGTAGGAGGTCATGCAGATATGCTCTGTAAAATTGAAAGGGCAGTGACAGAAGGCTGTCTTGCAGCACAAGCTGTGTGTGAGCAAAGGTATGAAGCAATGCTTGATGTCTCAATTTTATCTTAAAATGTATATGAAAAATAGTGTAAAGAGTGCAAAGGTCACAAAGCCTCACTCTGTAACCCTTAATGCCCCATGCCTGATAGACACTATCTTGTGAAAGAGACAATAAAATTTATTATGTTAGTGGTACCTTTAAAAATCAATCTTTTAGCTGTCATGTAAGTTAAAATAAAATCTTTTTATACCTTTAGAAAACTGTTGGAGGATAGAAGAGAGTTACGAAGAGTAGAAGAGGATGAGTAAGTTATGATGAGATTAATGGATCATTTGCTGGAGAATTGGGGGAGAATTTGCAGTTACCATACAGTTCAATACTAGCATCCTATCTCCAGGTCAATGCCATGCCAATGTTGGCTTCTAAATACATGGCTTTTAAAAGTATATCAAATGAAAATAGTAAAGTGGGTTTTGCACGACTGTTGATTAAGGGGATCTAAGCAAATTTGATTACCCACCCTATAATAATAATAATAATAACTTTATTTAAGTGTCAGTGTATTTTAGCACTGTTGTGCTAATTGGGGACACTGTAAATAAGGAAACAAATATCGTAAATGAACTTATATATATATATATATATATATATATATATATATATATATATATATATATATATATATCCAGTGGCAGGGAGGATGGAGGAGGACTTGAACCCGGGACCTCCGGCTTACAAGTGCAGCGCCCTAACCACTAGGCCACGCTCGCCTCAGAGACATGTGATTGTCTGGTTCCTTTTTAAATCCAAACTCATCTGTTTTAAAAAGTTTACCAAACTGGCTTTTTTGACATATGATTGCCTGGATTTTTTTCAGTGACCTCGCGCTTTGTGAGACATTTAAAAACTCGTCCATTCTAGGACTTTTACGAACACTCAACTGTCGCTCAAATGTCTTTGTAAGACATTTAAGACGTCGAGCTTTTAAGACATTTGATACATCTTACATTTTACGACATTTGGAACATCGTGCTCTTTAAGTCATTTGAGACATCGTGATTTTTAAGACACTTGAGACACTTAAGACCATGTTTTTCAAGACCTTTGTGACATCGTGCTTTTTAAGACTTTTGGGACATCGCGCTTTTTTAAGTCATTTGAGACATCGTGCTTTTTAAGTCATTTGAGACATCGTGCTTTTTAAGACCTTTGTGACCTCGTGCTTTTTACGTAAGTCAAATTACTATATATATATATATATATATATATATATATATATATATATATATATATATATATATATATATATATATATATATATATATATATCCAGAAAAAGAAAATGGATATCTTTGATGAAATGTTTTGCCTTCCGGGGAACTAAGCTGTAGGTGGCAGCGACTGAAAATACAATAATAAGCTGAAATAATTTCCTCCTGCTACGAGCAAACTCTTTTGTTGCAGTGTATCAAGGTCTGACAATAGTAATTTATTCATCGAAGCTCTCGAACTGTCAATCTTATTCAAAACAGGTGAGTTCTTGTAAATGGATGTTCAAGCATCTCGTTAACGTTTTTATACTCTAAATTATACGTGCATAGTTAATGTATGTGGTGAACTGTACTCAATCTTTATCCGAAGGTCGGCACAGCTGCATTTGGTCGGGGAAAAGGTTCCTGTTTTCCCTGGGGCGTTTTCGGGTAGCAGGCGGGTTCTCGTTTGCCTTCTCCAAGTGTTGTAAACTATGCTTGGATCGCCCTTGTTATACACAGCTACTTACTTGAGCTTGTATTTGTGCACTGACACGGACGACAGTAAACACTCAGTTAGACCTGCACACCAATATATTTACCGTTTTTTAAAAGAGATGTAACTAATATCCTGCAAACTTAAACTTGGCGATGCGTTTTAAACAAGCCAAAAACCAACTTTCCTCAATTGAATCTAAATTGCCCAGCGGTCATAATAGCTTTTTGGGTGTTTGTGGGTGTCTTTAAGAAAACTTGAGATAATACCTGTTACCATACTTGTGCCTGGTAACTCATTCTTATTCTGATAAACCAGTTTTAAGAAAAATACAACATTTTACTACATAAATTTGATGCATAGGCTGTGCACAAAACTTTAATTTGACTATACTTTTCTAGCCAATACCGGTTCATTTACATGATAAATT